CCCCAAAACCCCAAAACCCCAAAACCCCAAAACCCCAAAACCCCGAATTCAGAAATTTAAATTGAATAATTAGTATTACTTTTTAGGTGTATGAAAATTATCGTCCTCGCTACGATGGCTTGGTCTTCCTAGCCTAGACTCACTGTTCCTATCAGAAAAGTAGGAGTGATATTCATCAGTTCTATTGTCGGTAACTACTGATCTTCTATCACCATCAGAGTATTCAGTTCTTGTGGCATCATGGCTCTTTGTATTAGTTGTGACTAATGATTCTGATCCGTCAAAGAGATCTTCGTCTACTAAGTTTCTTCCCATTGAGAAGTATACCTCTTTTTGAGTCTTTTCATAGACATAAATCAAAACTGGATAGCTTTCTCCAAATCCTCAAGTTGCGATCATGTTAAATTTATTGTTCCAATCAACATCTCAAGTAGAGTCTAAGAACTTGCAGTTGTACTCTTGCGAAAATCTCTCTTCAGTATGAATATTCCAAACATTAATATTACCTTTCTCAGAGCCTGAGGCAAGATAGGCTCCATCAGGACTGGCTCAAGACCTGATCATCTGGTAAGCAGACCTGGCTCCAAAAAGCCTGGTCCTGACTTTGGCGTCTTTCTTAAGATCCCTATCAAATTCAATAATTCTGATGCAGCTATCTCTAGAATGAACAATAATCTTGTCTTCTGAGTCAGGATCAATCATGATCTTATTAACAGTGTCATCTTCAATTTCTTTGTGTTTGATGATAAAATAGTTATCAGCATAGATCTCTCCATCAAGGTATGAGAGGTCCCAGGTCCGAATCAGCCCAATTGAGTCTCCCACAAACAACTTTCCCATCTTATCGATCATGATGCAGTTAGGGTACACATGATTTGCAAGAGTAGGGTTTTGTAGAAAGTCCATGTCTAACTTGTTCTCAATTAGAGCTTTCCTCATGCTATCCAGGTTAAGGAAATTTAGTGATTTTATGCAACTTTTATAAGTGAAAACGCCTTCTGAGTTGAATTCTAGATGCCAGAATCTTATTACTTGGTCGTATCATATAGTAACCAAGATCTTATACCTTGAGCCTTTGTAAGTTCCTTCTTTGTAGAATTTCCCTCCATAAACATAAGAAGGATGAATTAGCTCACATATGTAATAGTAGGTATCGTTTTCATTGTGGTCAAGTTTGTTTGGCCCTTCTTGATCAACAGAGCTCACATCCCATATCTTTACGCTACCATCAGCAGAACAAGTTGAAAGAATCTTATCGTCGTTAGACCAAATGATATCGTGAATTAAATCATGATGTCCTTTAAGTTTCATCAAGATCTCTCCAGTGGTTACTTGAAAGATTTTTAAAATTGTCCTTGAATTGTTAACTGAGCAAGCAACGGCTAAAAAGTCACCATTATTTGAGAATTTTATTCTGAATGCACCTAGTTCTTCAGTCTCAAGTTTTCTCAAGAATTTATTTGGAAGTTTGCAGCCTTCATTCTTTGCTCTTTCCCATTTATAATACTTCATTCTCTCTTCAGGCTCTTGATCTCCTGTACGTTTTCTTCCAAAAGTAACAGCTCTCTTTGCTCCTGGTCTTTTTGAAAACTCTCTGAGACCTACTTCATACTCCCAAGGATATCTTGAAAAATGAGTGATGGTTTGAGGCACTTCATCGTTTAAAAAGTTCAAATTAATCTCGAGATAAGAAGGATATTTAGTCTTATTTGGCCAATTAAGTTCACACAACACATCTGGAGTTCTCAGATCAATTTCATTCTTCATTCTTCTCTCTTTGGTATGCCTCCCTTTATAGTAGTATAATTGAATCTGGGAATCAGCCAGGTGCTGTCTTGCACACCCAATAGGTCTCAAGAATCCCCATGCTATAGGAAGCATCTTATCAGCATTCAGCTTTTTACTATTCTCCAGTAGCAATGCTGCACTGTAGTCAAGAATTTCAAACAAAATAACCACATATGGGTTAAGAAAGTCTTCAACTCTAATATCAACAGAGAAGGATTCGTACCAACTACAGAAATTTTCCGCTTTATCTCTCAGATCGTAATGAGCCGTACTCAGTGGCAAATAATAATCAACGTTAGGATGCTGAAAATGAACTTTATGAGAGTTGTAATAACTTATTTTCTCTCTATTATATACCCCGGGAATATCCATATTGGCTTTTGCCAGATATTTATAAGTTCTGAGATCTACCAGATGGACCTTCACAAATGGATGCAGAATATATTGATCTAGAGCCAGTGGACCACTTTTGTTTATCTTAATCTCGATTTTATTCGATTTATATTCTTCTCCTTTAAATTCTTCAAAAATCTGGTCATTCCTCATCACTTCAATATTTCTTTTACCCGAGAAACATCAACATCAAGCTTTAAACAGCCTTGATGTCAAAGGAAACCTATACTGAGTCTTTCTCTCAAAATCAATAGGATCTCCCTCTGACTTAATAGGAGTGAACAATATGGGTTCATTCTTGCCTTCCTCATGTCCCTCTTGCCCTTCAAGAAGCCCTTGATTTTCATCTCTTTTCTTGTCTTCCTCCTCATCCTCCTCTTCTGCATCCCTTCTGCCCCTACTATGACTCTCTCTGGAAAGCCCACTAGGTCCCTTAGACTCTTCATCATAAAAGTCATCTTCTTCAACATCCTGTTCTTCTCTATTCCTATTTCCCCCAGTAGAGTGTGCATCTTCCTCCTCATCATCATAAGGATCGTGTCTATCAAGGTCATTAACTTTCTCGTCTTCTTCGTCTTCAGGAGTATTTTTGGAGGGATCTTGGCCATCCCTCGCTGCCTTTTCTTTAGCTTCTTCCTTTGTGTCCATCTACTTGAGCTATGATGACGAGTGAGAAGGAGGATAAGGAGGAAAAGGGAGAGAGTAGCGAAGAGTGAGAAATTAGTGGTGACTGTGAAGGAGGATTTGGGGGAAGTTTAGTTGCAGACTTACATTTTTATTTAAATTTTACAAGTTTCTATAATTCAAATTTTTTAAGGGGTTTTGGGGTTTTGGGGTTTTGGGGTTTTGGGG